GCCCCAGCTTGGTGCCAACATGTTCTCATGCCTCTGGACCCCGTGCTGACTTCCCCTCTAAATTGGGAACAGGCCGTGGGCTTAGGGCAGGTGGGAAAAGTTTCCCAACTTTTATAGCCCTGCTTTTGTTGGCTACCTGTGTATGACAGGTGGTACTGGCATTCTATTTATTGTGGTGGCGTTTTCAATAAATAAATTTAGTAAACATGTGTCCACGGAGAGACATTTATGTATGATGGCACAGCTGTGGGTAGATCTGGAAGACGTGGTGAAGGTGGTTGGGTGTGGCTGGGACTGGGGGACAGGGTAGAAGGGGGCATTTGACCTTGGAAGGTAGTTCATTACTTTTTTCCTTAGGTTCCAGGACCTGGGAGGGGTCCAGGTCAAGCCTGGGTCAGGCTTCTTGTCTGATGCTTAGGTAACACCTAGACTCACTCTGAAATGCGGGCCAGGATGGCTGCTGAGCGGTGGGTTCAGGCTAGCCAGAGCGCCGGTCTCCCGGTCCAGGGGCTCCGACCAGAGGCCGGAGCCTCCCTGCCCGCACTGTCCATGGGAAGGGGGCCTTGGCGCTGCTACCAGTGCATGTGCCGTGAAAGCGCCTGCTTTTCCTGGAGGAGGCTTTGCGTGTTGGCTGGTGGGCCTGGGTCTGCAGGTTGGTGATGTGGGGATGGCGTTGGGTGGCTGAGGGTCCTAGGCCCCGAATGGGCTGAGGGGTAAAGGTCAGAGAGAAACTGGATGAACTCGAGGACTTACCCCACCCAGAGACCAGACCTTGCATCCTTTCCTTAGGATCCTTTGGGGTTTGGCAGTTTGGGGGAGAAAGGCAGCCTTTGGGGGTGATTCTCCAAGGCCAGTGCTGGGAGAGCCACCATGTGATGTGTGGAGGGGGAGGATGGGGGAGAGAGTGAGAGGGATTCTGTTCTTCCTCGGACAGCCTGCCATGCTGCCCAGAACAGAACCGGCTCCTCCAGGCCCCGTGACACCGCTGCCCTTGCGGGGGCTGTGGCCTTCATCGCAGACATTCCTGGGGAGCTTTGTGGTGTTGGAACAGGACTCCTTTCTCAGCGTTTTCTGTGTCTCTATTTCCCAGTGACAGTTGAAACTCGTTCCCTTTACGATGGCCATGTAGAGGGGAGAGCGCTGGGCCCTGGGCTGGGAAGCACGCAGGCAGGGAAGGAAGATGCTAGCTCTCAGTGGCTCCTCCGGGGCCTGGACGAGGGAAGTGGTGCCCAGCCCTGGCTGATGTCCAGCTGTTCCCAGCGCATCTCCTACCCTGGCACCTCTGCCCCCCTCACCCAGCAGCTGCTGGGGAGGGAGTGGGGAGGGATGTCCCCACTCAGCATCTCCCGCCCCTGAAACTCCCCCTTCAGCTTGTCTCTGGCTGGGTTTTTCCCTTTTTCCCCTTGCAAAGCTGTGGTACTCTTGGAAGAAATCAATCTTAAAGTATGAATACCTTTGAGGGAGATGAATCTGAGCCCACAAGTGTAGGGCTGGGCACTGTCTTTTTCTAGAATCCCGTTTCCATTCCCAACGTCCCAGCCCTGGGAGGAGAACTTCAGAGAAGGCAGGGGAGGGCAGGCTTCCCTCCTGCTCCTGGTGGGACCAGGGAGAGGGCAGGGGCAAAGCCTCACACTGGCAGGCCTGGGAGGTGGGAGGGGCCCTGGGCAGGTGACCACACGGCCAGAGGCCCCTCCCCGAGGCATGTGGGCCACCTCCGGGAAAGGGCCGGCTGGAAGGGAGTTGTGTGAGAAAGGAGCAGTGCTGTGTCTTGTCCTGTTTGCGGACTGAGTTCCCACACACAGGCTGATCCCAGCAGAGCTGCCCGGGTTCGGTGGGGCTGGGGGCCCAGGGACCCCACTGACCCTCTTTCCTTAACCCGCCCTCCCTTTCCCCCCGGGGCTCTGGCATGGTTGGCCAACCTCTGCTCTGCCCCACGTTTCCAAGTCCAGGGTCTGAAATGTGCTGGGCCTGCCTCGCTGTAGGCCAAGCATGTCGAACTCGGGCCTGCGGGCACATGCCTCGATTATTTGACCCCTGTTAGCCTTTGAGTTTGACATGCTTGCTGTAGGCAGAGGCAGCGTGGCAGAGGGAAGGTGCCCCTGGGCGTGCCCCCTGCGTAAGCTGTAAGCATCTTCGCCTCCGGGTTGATGGCCCCTCAGTGGGACTCGCCCGCACATGCAGACATTCTGGTGCCAATGTGTTCTGAGCAGGTAAGAGGTTCTTTACTCCGATGGCTGAATGCGGACCTTGATGGGCCTCTGAGTGAGGCCGAGGGCCACCGTGGTCCAGACTCCATTCGCTGAGGGGGTGGGCTTTCCTCCTCTGTCCACCCCCTGCCCCACCCCACCCGCTGTGTGACAGGACCCCCCAGACTGGGCCGCCTCGAGGGCAGATTCTGGGGAGGTTTCTCTAATCTCCAGGGCTAATCCTTGAAGCTCCGTGTCTCAGTGTCAGCTTGGATTTGCAGCCTGGCTGCCTCTGGGAGAGATGCCGCTACCCCTCCCCTCCCTGTGAGCCACAGCGGGGTCCCCAGGCCTCTGCTGCCTCTGGGGCTTGAAAGGGGAGCCCAGTTCCAAGGAGTTACTTGGACTCCCTGGTTGGGCCACCTGGTGAGGGAGCTGTGGGTGACTGTCCTGGGCCTCCAGAACCCCTCCTTTGGCAGAGGGAGGGGGTTGGCTTCCCTCACGGGGGACTCTCGCTCTGTGAGTTGAGGAAGAAGCCTTGGTGTGGGGGGCAGAGCTCTGCCCTCATACGCTGGCCTGGCGTTACCCCCACCCTGGCCAGCTGGGCCCCATAGGAAGCCCGTCTGTTTGCCGGCCCTGCTCTGCTCTGGGTCCATGACCTTGGCCGCTGGAGCCTGTTTCTCGGCTCTACGAAGGGATGATGACCTGCATCCCTCCTGCCTCTTGCCTCGGGGATCAGCCTTGGCGTGGTGGGTGAGAGGGACAGAGGGCACGGGAAGGAGGGGCTGCACCAGCCCCGCTCCTCCTCCACGGAGGCTGTGCCTGGGACTGCAGCCACAGCGCCCCAGGCCCCTAGGAGCCCCGGATGAGCGTTTAGGCCATCGAGGAGAGCAACTCACATTTTATTTAAATCCGCTGTTGCTCCCTCCCAGCTGTCAGAGAAGAAAGGCAGCTGCGTCTCTGCTCCCGGAAGCCGAGGGGCTTGTTGAGAGTCAGGACAGGATGGATTCACTGAGGGTGTGTGTGCGCCTGACACTGGGCAAAGCACTGACATCATTTCATTGTCACCAGCACTTTATTAATTATTTTTTAAAAATATGTTTTTATTGATTTTTCAGAGAGGAAGGGACAGGGATAGAGAGATAGAAACATGGATGAGAGAGAAACATTGATTGGCTGCCTCCTGCACACCCCCTACTGGGGATGGAATCCTGACCAGGAATCAAACCAGTGACCTCC